CAGCACTTCCCTGCCAGGCGCAGCCACAGAGACCCCTTCCTCTCTGAGCCTCACTCCTCCACTGGCACTGCTCAAGGATGCTTGGCAGTTGTCTGCTCCCTGGCCCCGTCAGGAGGTAGAGCCCAAGAAAAAGGAAGGCAACTCCGTAGCCTGAACCGGCACCCGGCCCTCCTGGAGCCCGAAGGGCATCTTTCATGGGCCAAGATCCCCCTTCACTCTTTGTGGTGCCGCCGATGGCACACAGTACCTTGTCAACAAGGAGGTGGAACCAGGTGGTGGCCAAAGGCTCTGCTAACTCCCAAATCCCAGAACCCGGTAACTTAAGAGTCTACTTTGGAAGTCTCTGCCCTCCCCCAATCAGGACAGACGGTGGAGAGGAGCTTGGACCATGCATTCCCCACCGCGCCTCAAATATGGGCAGAAAATTGGTGCATCTGTTTCCATTCTGGGAACTTCGTCAGCTGCTTACAGGGAGGACCTCTGTAAAAGGGTGCAGTCCCTTGGGCCCCGAGCCTGACGACCGGCTGGCAGCTGCGCCTCCTGCTGGCCATTCTGTGGTGGGGCTGGTCCTGGGAGATGGAACTCAATGGTCCCTCAGAGCACGGCCAGGAGCTCAGAGCCTAGAGCAGGGCAAATGCCCGCTCACAGGCACACAGATAAGCAGGGGCAGAGCCTGCATAGAAGGCGGGCCTCCCAGCCCCCAGGGCTGCTCTGTGACTGCTATGTTGGCTTTTCCAAGGTCTTTCCTGGACCCACGATTGCTTTCCAGAGTCTGGGGTTGGTGCTAAGGACTGAGGCCTGGCACCTGTCTAGACATTGGAGACGAGGATGTGAATTCCACTTCTTTCAACACCCCCCGCTCCATGATGCCAGGCCCATGATGCCACATCACACCCTCTAGGAAAACGGACCCAAAACTCAAAATTTTTTACACAAATACACACAACGTAATAAGCACCTTAGATTTATTCTCCTCTCACTTCTGAAGCCATGTTATTTAATTTATATATACATGGTATATAAATGGCTATACAATATTCTTTACATATATTAACACGAGTTTAGGCTTTACTACTGTGTGAGAGTTTGTTAAAACATACCCATCATTTATTCAAAATAGATCTTTGTTATTACATGAAAACAGTAAGAAGCTTGTACAACATGGACAGCAAGCATTCAAAACGCATATGTGAAGGAAATGGTTTTGCCCTGGCTAAATCAGTCTCAATCTTTTACACTCTTAGTAGAAAAGTCTATTAAATGAAACAGAATTCGGGGGAGGGGGGGTCAAGTCGTACAAATAATTCGTTAAATATACTTCTGAAGTAACCCCAGAATCACAGAAGGGTTAAAGAAGGTCACACGTACCAAGCACAGGTTAGAAGAACAGAATGGATTTGATAATTTGACCCGAAATAAAAGGCGCTTGTGAGCCACGGCTCTGCCATCAGCACACACGGACAGATGTTTCCATATCCGGCCATTCCCAGGTCTTACTGACAAGCCCTTTTCCACAGGTTCCCTGCCAAGACGTTTCCCCAGCAACCGGGGTCTGACATCACTGCTCCCAGAAGGGAGACTCAGAGCTCTCCCCATTTGGCTCAGGGATGGACTTGAGGTTTGGTTCGACCAGCAGAACCGGCCTCCCTGGATGCTGGAGGGCCCAATGCCAATGGTAGCAAGAGCTCTGTGACTGGAGGGCAAGAGGCACGTTCAGGGGGGAGAAAGAGAGGTCACCACCTTTCTAGACTGGAAGACTGAGCCCATTTACCTAGCAGGATCATAAAAGGCCTGTCTGTAAAACCTGGAAGACCCGGCTGCACTGTGCTGTGTAAAGCGTGAACTTCCTCTCACCGGGTGAAAGCCTTTTTCCTCCTGCACGTGAACAGAGGATTCACCCAGTATTCTCCTCCACTAGGCTTTTCTCCTCATGACAGCATGCCGGGGGAGTAGGTGGTTACCACCGCTTCCCAGCTGAGGACCCTGTCCCTGCGGGCAGAACCTGCCCACAGTGGTGGAGGCCTGAGCAGGAGAGTCAAGTCTCTCTTCCTCTACCATTGTTCACACTCACAGAGCACAGTGGAGCTTCCCTGTGCCCGGGGAAGGATTCTGTGGAGGAACGTTTGAAATGTGAGCAACACCAGAGCGGGGTGCACATCCGGTCCCTATAAACACTCCCATGCCTGCCGGGCCCCACTTGCGCTGCCCCGTGCACGCACGACAAGCAGTCTCCTGAGGGCCACCTGCCCTGCATGTTACAGTGAGTGGCCGATTCCTTCAAGGAATCGGAAACAGCAGCCCTGGATGAAGGTGCAGCACGTGCCCCCAACATGCCAACTGCTTGAGGGCGGCTGCTTGAGGGCCCCCAGCTCTGCTCCTCACCTGTCTCCTGCTTGCTGCACCCCAAACAACCGGCCCTCCTGGCTGTCGTCTTTGCCGACCCTGGCAGTGCTGACCGCCAAAGTGCTGTTGCCCTGCGAGCCCCGACTCCCAACTGTGTGCTGCAGCTCCCGGGGGCACGGAGGAAGAGGGCCGGGCCTCAGTGCACTCTGCTCCACCCCTGAGCTCCTGTACCCACCTTATCAACTACAGTGAAAGATGGCTTTCCCCACCCCTCCAAAGATTCCAGTTTCAGCCTCTGTTTCCAGGGCTGCAATGTGTGGGACAGACACGGAAAGAGGCAGAAGAGTCCTGGAGAATAGGGGCACCTAGGAAAATAACAGGGAGCTCAAGGTGAGGTGACAGAAATGAGATTGTTTTAATTTCAGCACTCCTCCTAACACCCTTTTTCCAACTCCTTAAGGAATTTTAAAAGGTTGCTTCACAATGCCTGTAACACAGACCACAGGGGTGCAAGCCTGAGAAGCAAAACCGGGAGCCTCCGGTCACATTCCTCCCACCACCAGCAGAGGGGCCTCTAGTACTGAGAGGTAATGCCACCCCCAAATACACCCCTGATTGTCTCCTCCCAGGAAAAAGAAACTCAGGAATGATCCTTATCACAGTAAGGCTACCCTAGGGAAATGAAACCAGAGTCTACGTGTTTCTCTCACCTGCATACTTGAGGAAGGGAAAACCCTGTGGGCCTTTGCCCCATGGTTGGGAAACCCTGGCCAAGAGCACTGAGCCACATTCCAAGCCCGATACGGGAGATGGGAATAATGCACTCCGACGTTCAAAGAGCTTGCAGTATCTGATCCCAGAAGGCACTTTTAAGGTTTGTTTTCAACATTATTTCAACTATTCCCAGATCCACCCCTGCGAGGTTGGTTGGGCAGGTAGCATTGAACCATTGGGAAAATAAAGTGCGAGAACAGCAATGAGTCCGTGGGGTAGTGAGGATAACTCCTGCGACGTGGAGCCACCTTTCTGGCATCAAGGATGACACAAGGGGCCACAAAACTCCAAGCCTGAACCAGGTCAACCCTGAGCTGGGATCTCCCTTGGACAAAATCCCCAGAACTACTTCTCTGTCATTTGTCTCTTCCTCCAGTGAATGAGGCTTCTTTTGGCTGGGTTCGAGGTGAACAATGTGTATGTGGTTATTATTTTGTACTATTTGTCCAGTGCATCTTTTCCCTTTCATTTGCAAAAACCAATCTGAAACCCCATGTAGATATTCACTGATGAAAACCACATTCAGCCAAGTGTAGACAACATCTCCACCAGTGCAGGAAGTATTCACCAGGAGGGCCTACTCTTCAGGATAGTTCTCTACTGCCAGGTATGGATCACAGATTCTGCCCCCGAGAGCATCTGGGGTATAGGGCTACACGGCAATAACACATGAGCTCAAAAAATATTAATAACTCACTTATAGGCTGTGCTTACCAACGTTTAAAGCCTTTTTTTTCTTTTCTTTTTTGGTACTTCTAATGTACAAAGACTTCTCTTCCCTCCTTGGCTTTCCATTCTATTTTACCATCTCTTCAAAATTATCTCCCAGAGAGCCTGAAGATTCGCCTGCTGGGTATGCAGAAAATTACGAAGATGCAACACTGATAGAGTGACAACTGTGCAGTTGACATCTGAGGATGTTGCCAATATAACTTTCATATCAAGATATTTTGATTAAAAACAGAAAATTGTATTATAAGAAAATTACTGTAGCATCATTTTCCCAACAGTTTCCAGTCACATAAACTTGTTTTTCTTAACCTGACACCAAGGTAGCTCAGTAACAATGCACTACCAGTAACAACCAAGTACAACTGAGTTCCCTAAAATAATATTCTTGCTTTCCCTACGTACTCAATAATTCTTGTGAAGCTTTTCAACTTTTAAGATCAAAGTAGGATTATTTTAATTTATCAAGACCACATAATTCAAACCAAAATATCCCACGCAACTGTCAGTGAGCTATTCAGATTCTAGACTTCTACCAAGAACAATCCAAAGAGGGGCGCCTGGGTGACTCAGTCGATTAAGCGTTCGACTTTAGATCAGGTCATGATCTCACCGCTTGTGAGTTCAAGCCCCACATCGGGCTCTGTGCTGACAGCTCAGAGCCTGGAGCCTGCTTCAGATTCTGTGTCTCCCTCTCTCTCTGCCCCTTTCCTGATCACGCTCTGTCTCTCCCAAAAATAAAATAAACATTAAAAAAAAAAAATCAACAATCCAGAGGGCAAACTCCTGAAATGGCCTCCTAAATGTACTGGACAACCCAGGCTGAAATTTCTGGAGACCAAAAGGATCTTATACAGAGCCTCTTTTTGGACAACTGTGATCAATCACTATTTTCACAGAGAGAAGAAAAGTAACTTTTCAGGGCATGGGGTTTATTATATCCTTATCCTTATGAAGCTTGAAAAAAAGTTAACACCTCCTTAACTCCTGTTCATAAAGAACGAGGCCCTCCATCTAATTAAGATGACTGGAAGAGGGGTAGAGGAGTAATTAACTCAGGAGGTCTTCTGGGAACAGGTACACAGGGTCAGGCATTCATCATCATTAAGATGACAGGCACTCAGCTGCCATGTACAAGGCTGATGACAAGGGTGTTTTTGTTTTTTGTTTTTTTACTACAACCTGCATCTGTAAGGTGCCACTGTGTGAATCCATGTGACTCACCTACTCCTGTCTGTGGCCCCACCGCAAAGAACCCTGAAATTCTCGGGCTCATAAGCTCATCCTCATGAGCTTATGATCCAGTAGCACTGGTTACTCAATTTTTTAAATATTCAGATATACCCTGCAGACAAATACAAAACTTTTCTGTGCCCACGCAGTCCCACCACCATAAAAAGTTATATACAAATTAAATAAACTCGGCTTTCTTAACCATTTTCTCAGCTTGAGTTTGTCCTTTCCCCAAATGAAGATAAGTTCAATTTATATCCAAAATACATTTAAATATTCTAAAGGTATCATATCAGACCTAAGTTATCAAAAAATGTAAACAAAATTTATCTAGCTTATACTTATGAACCATATTTTAAAATGTTTAATTCACCCTGTATTGACCCTCTACAAAAAACTAACCAAGTCCCATTTAGACTGAAAAGCTGATGTGGGTTTTAAAGTGGTTCCTCAGAGACAACCGCCAGTTACTAAAGCTAGTGTTATTGAATCTAGTGGTTTATTGCATCATTCAATTTAAAAGACCAAAATAATTCCATTCTGATCTTCTAATAATGCTCCTTCTGAATGAGCCCCCAGATTCTGCTGTCCTAAGTAAATGTGCTGAACTGGAGATTCTGCCATGATGCCCAGCACAAAACTGGGGCTGGGGCGACCTCGTGTTTTCCATCGCTCCTGTTAAAAATCCTCAACTTTCAGTATCACTCTGGTTTGGTCGAAAGGAACTTCAAGGATGGAAACTCGAGGTGAAGTCGAGAAGCAAAAAGGGAAACAGAGGTGACTCTCACAAGAAAACGAAAGGATCCATTCATCACATGATGCCATCTTCATACTCCATAGTCAGACTGCTTCTCCTGAAGCTGCCTGGTCAGTATCTGATATGAAGACAGAAAAGCCACTCCTATGTGGAAAAGGATTTGCCAGAGGTTCCTTAGCCCATGCAGGTACATGTTGCCCAGGCAGATAAAGAGCAGCATCAGCACCACCTTCACAGTCCTGGCTGGACTGTAGAACAGGTACAAATAACACTGAAATGACACCATAAGAGGCAGTCCAGTCAGAGAGGAGAAAACAGCCACAGGTCCGATGCAGGACTCACTTCCTACACCTGCACACACAGTGTCATCTCACACATAGTAGCTCATTAAACTGAAATCATGACAATGGAGCCCGGCCTTGCCAGGTGAGCTGCTGTTCATCAAATCACTGGATGAAAGTGGAGATCCAGAAGAGACAAGAAAAGTGGAACAGATATCACAGGGGGAATTAGAACATGACACTCTTGAAAACATTTAAGAACTACAGACAGAAATGCCCAGGCTGTGGGCTGTGGAAAAAGAGGTGCAGGTAAGGGGAAGAGAGCCAGGCCAAAGACACCCCAACAAGAACGGCTGGTCTCCAACTGGACTTTTCCTTCCAGGGAGTCATGACAGGTAGGAAAGCCAGTAAAAGAAGCTATGCTTTTATTATTTGTTTTTCCTGAGTTCCAACGACATCAGGGACCAATGTTCCCTAGACATCCTCCTTATCGTGTCTTCAAAAGCATCTCTGACACAGGGAAAGGTCTCACAGCAGGGAGGGGGACTAACATTTTGTGTAGGGCATTCACACAGAAAAGAGGCCATTCTTGTTCTACAAAAGCTAAAAGTAACTTTTTGGTTCAATGTTTAAAAAAAAACAAAAAGCACATTCTCAAAACACAGAGCAGTTCAACAAAGGCTCAAGCTCCAGTGGGAGGGAAAGAGTTCCCCACTGAAAGAGCTACCCAAGTACGAATGCAGTTGGGGGAACGAAGGCCAAAGTGCAAGATCCCTGCAGCCCTGGAATACAGGCTCTTGGTACCTCAAATGGCAACACTCGAGGCTTGGGACACTTGATTTCTAAAAAATGAGTGCATTTTTGGTCCTGGGTTGAAAATTTCTTTTCCCACAATCATGTCACTCTTAAAAAATAGACCATCCCGGGGCGCCTGGGTGGCGCAGTCGGTTAAGCGTCCGACTTCAGCCAGGTCACGATCTCGCACTCCGTGAGTTCGAGCCCCGCGTCAGGCTCTGGGCTGATGGCTCAGAGCCTGGAGCCTGTTTCCGATTCTGTGTCTCCCTCTCTCTCTGCCTCTCCCCCGTTCATGCTCTGTCTCTCTCTGTCCCAAAAATAAATAAAACGTTGAAAAAAAAAAAAAAATTAAAAAAAAAAAAAAATAGACCATTCTGGGATGTATGTGGAAGAGAGAAGAAGCGTTCTTTGAGAAAATAAATTTTAATTGAAAGGAAAAGAAAAAAAAAAAAGCTTAAGAATGTAGACAAAGTACTAAAATCTGAGCCTCTATGGAGGATGGGGAAAGAAAATTACAGGTTTTTTGTTTTTTTGTTTTTTTTTTTTTACTAGAATTAACTCTACCTACAGAGGGTTCAAAAGCTCCATTTTACTCTGCCCTGTAAGTATGCAGCTTATTTGAAAATAACTAAACAGTAACCGGGGGCGCCTGGGTGGCTCAGTCGGTTAAGCAGCTCAGGTCACGATCTCGAGGTTCATGAGTTCAAGCTCTGCGTTGAGCTCCATGCTAACAGCTCAGAACCTGGAGCCTGCTTCAAATTCCGTGTCTCCCTCTCTCTCTCTCTGCCCCTCCCCACTCACACCCTGTCTCTCTCTCCCAAAAACAAATAAATCTTTTTAAAAATCTGAAAGTAACTAAACAGTAACCAACAGTAAAAACCCACTAGTTAATGTTGTAATGTTTGCCTCGTTTCCTAACGACAGATTTGAGTCAGATGGTATGACCATTAAAAAAAAAAGTTTTTGGGGCGCCTGGTGGCTCAGTCGGTTGAGCGGCCGACTTCGGCTCAGGTCACGATCTCGCGGTCCGTGAGTTCGAGCCCCGCGTCAGGCTCTGTGCTGACGGCTCGGAGCCTGGAGCCTGCTTCAGGTTCTGTGTCTCCCTCTCTCTGACCCTCCCCCGTTCATGCTCTGTCTCTCTCTGTCTCAAGAATAAATAAACGTTAAAAAAAAAAAAAAAAGTTTTTACCTAGTCTTGCATTTAAACAACACACACGCACACGCACACGCACGCACATGCAGTTGTTACTTCTGCAGGAGGACATTTCTATACTTGGACTGCCGTGACACTAAGCAACACCCTGCCTCACATTAGTCAGGTAACCCAATCCCCACAGCACTCTCATCTTTCCCTTCTTGAAATGTGAGTCCCAAAATTCCTGGCTTCTGTTCACCGTTGTGAAAGGCTCTGCGGCCTAGGGCAAATGGATTTCCCTTTGAGTCCAATGCTGTTCCTTTGTGAAACGAGAGGACTGGACAGGATGGGCCTAGCGTGGTTCCACTAAGGGCCTGTTATTCCGTGACAGGCCTTGGTGGAACAAAATCACATCTAGAAATAAGCTGACGGTCCCAACAGAAGAACAAAATAAGGTCATGGGTTCAACCCACTCAAAATATCGATGTTTCACCCACCTGGAAAATACAGGCTACAAAAGGAATAAGAAAAGCCAGAATAGTCCCAATTTCCTCGTGGGCAACCTAAAACAAATGTAAGAAACAGGAGAAAAGGAATATTCCGATGAAAGGAAAAACGATGACATGAAGCTCTTCACACCTCATTGGGTCTGGTTTGGTTGATAATGCAAAATCCCTGACTGGGACAGAGCACCCTGTTGCTATACCAGAACCGGGGTTGACATGCAACTGTTTCCAACAGCCTGGACACACCATGTGCCCTCCTGTCCCCGAGCATCTGTACGAAGCCCCCAGGCTGGAATGCCCCCCAACACTACTGCCTCTCAAAATCCACTAATTTGTCAGCACTAAGATTTCCCTAATTCTGCATTCTTCAGGTACTGCCACCTCCTTAGTGATGTCACCACACTCTACTTTGTGCCACATCTTAACTGTCTTGTCGGACATTGTAACTGTTCTAGTGCGTACAGACGCTTGGTAAGTATCTGGGCATGGATAATCATAAAAAATAAGAGTAGGAAACAGCACCCATCAGCCAAAGACAGGACGCAGTAACAGGCGGTCACCACTCTTACAGCACAGGCCTGCTGCCACTCTCCACACAGGTCTGTCTACATTAGTTTCCTGAGAGCAACACCAGCCATGCTCCAGCCTTTAGCTACCGCAGTGATGGTGTGGGCATGATGGCTCTATTTTTAAATGAGGTATCTACCTGTTTATGCCTACAGTGATTCTATGCTTTTTCAAAGTGTTTTAAATACTTCAAAATTTAAAAAAATATTTTAAGAGCCCTGACATAGAGAGTTGCTTTGATTTAAGCAGCCTGGCAAACCAACTGCCTAATGATACAGTTCTCTGACAAAGACATAGGGAAGTGGCATCTTGCTTGATATAAATCAGACTAGGAGGCAACTTTTTAACAGGCAGAAACAGCCTGAACCTCAGAGGCTGAGAATCAGATTCGCTCTTGACGAGCAATCAGGACCCTGGGGTGACTCCTGGGGCCCAAGGATGTCCCTGTAGCAAACTATTTCTCACCAAGTCCCCGACAGGCCCCTTTGGCTTCTTGGGACAACAGACACAAAAGAGCAAGTTTTATATTTGTTCAATTTACTTAAAGAATAGACTTTAAAATAAAAATTGTATTTTAATTAAACAATTGTTAAAACCTTTGTACATAATAACCTTACGAATAAAGTGTCTCCCCCATCAGTTTCTGCCATCATAGGTCCTTCAATTTAAACTATAAAAACAAAGGTTACCTGTAGAGAATGTTCTGCGAGGTGAATCCCACGGATGAGGTTCAGAGCAGCACACATGATGTTGAGAATGAGCGAAAGGACACCCAGGGCTGTCACTGGCTCCATTCGGAAATTAGGAGCTTCACAATTAAAAAAAATAAGTGTCTAGTGAAAATAATTTCTATATGAAAGAAAAATAAACAAAGACATTAACTAGACCTCCACTAATGATAGGCTCATTATGTTAAACACAGAATAACAAACATATTAATTAAAAGCAGCTGCTGTTAGACGGCAAAAAGGCAAGAAATGGAGGACAGAATGGATCTGGGAATCTGAAGTGAGTTTCTTTCGGCACGAGGACTGTCTCTGAGTTAAGCACAGGTTTTTCAAGGCCTGATTTTCTTTCTACTTAAAGCAGTGGTTCTCAGAGAGGAGCGATTAGCCCCTCAGTGGGCAACTGGCAATGCCTAGAGATATTTGGGGTTGTCAAAACTGCAAACAGGGTATTACTGGCACCTAGTGGGCCACGAATGCGTCTAAGCATCCTACAATGTACAAGACAAGCCCCTCACAACAAAAAATTATCCAGTACAAAATGTCAGTATGGCTTAGGCTGAGAAAACCTGACGTAAAGCAAATTATGGCTTTATTTGTAAATTGATTGTCAAACTGACAGCATTTCTATCAACTCTCAGCTTCTAAACAAGGACAGTATTCAGGGACTCGTGGGCTTCCGGGGCAATGTGCAGCAAATGCAGTTTTTTAAATTCTAAAATAATTGGGAAGAGGAGGTAAAAACACTGTTGAGCCACAATCTGTTTCTGGAACTCTAGACCAAATGATCATTCTCTCTTCAGAGATAACTACCAAGACCGATTCTGGTTCACACTATTAAATGGTGACACCCTGCCCCATTCTCTTAGTATGATCTTTTAAATCATCCCTTCTGGTCCTTACATTTCCCACATACACACACATGCGCACACACATGCACACAAAGTATCTAGCCACAACCCAAGGGATGCCTAGTGTTAGTGTGTTAGAGTTTCCACTGAGCTTCCAAAGCTCCTGTTAGAACAGAACATGCTACCTGTAAAGATTCTAGCCTCAGGACAATAGGGTGGGTCAAACCACAGTAAAATGTCCTAGAAAGATAAGCAAGTTGATGTTTTCTGGATTTTACTCCTCTTGTCTAAGTGGCTGAAAAACAAAATACATTACAGAGCCACCCCATTTTTATATACGGCAAAAGAAAAAGCTTGCGGCTCAATTACCTTCTACGAACGTTAAGTTCAATCCTAGTATAAATTACACGTTACTGACTGGCATAAAAGCCAATCCAGGAATGTATTTGGTTTAAATTTAAATAGATTAAATCAAAACACAAAGTTAAGCCAAAAAGGTGAACATTAAGGAAAAAAAATTTTTTTTAATGTTTATTTTTGAGAGAGAGAGAGACAGAGAGACAGAGCACGAGTGGGGTCAGGGCAGAGAGAGAGGGAGACATAGAATCTGAAGCAGGCTCTAGGCTCCGAACTGTCAGCACAGAGCCCTATACGGGATTCAGATTCACAAACTGTGAGATCATGACCTGACCGGACGCTTAACCGACTGAGCCACCTAGGTGCCCCCCAAAATGTGAACATTTTTAATACACCACTTTTAAAATTCAAGCAGTGAGTTTAGTATAAAAACTGTTAAGACAAAATAATTAGACTGTCATAGTGTAGACAACTCTATCTTTCAAAGAAGGATTCAGCTCTTAGACCATTACAGAATGGTTAGAAGATAAATTCTACTTTAATTGAAACTTGGTTTAATTGTGTGTGTAATCATAAACAAGGAATAAAAACAAAATCCTGCTTTGTTAGGTGCTCTTAGACCATTACAGAATGGTTAGAAGATAAATTCTACTTTAATTAAAACTTAGTTTGTGTGTGTAATCATAAACAAGGAATAAAAAAAAAAATCATGCTTTGTTATGTGCTCTTAGACCATTACAGAATGGTTAGAAGATAAACTCTACTTTAATTAAAAATTAGTTTGTGTGTGTAATCATAAACAAGGAATAAAAAAAAACCATGCTTTGTTACATGCTAGGCATTGAGTGGCTAGTGGTGTTAACGGCGGACTAAGTCACAGAGTGCCAGGGCACCCAGCTCGGAAATCCACAGGGCTCACGGGGAAGCAAACTGAGAACATTCGAAGCCCTGGCTCTGGCCCTGCCCACCCTCATCCCCAAGGCCCTTCCCTCCCAGGTCAAGGAGGGCATGGTTTCTCAGTGGAGATTTACAATGTTTTCACTAAGTGATAAGATGAGATAAGGATTCGTTGTCAAAAGAAAAAAGAGAGAAAGAGAACAGACAAATCTGCACACTTCAGTAAGTGACTTCCAGCAAAACCGAATGACTTCCCTTTACATTTAAACGGGTAGACTTCACCCTGGTTGAGAAAACAAGTCACTCTTCTGAATTTCATCAAGAGTTGCACCGCCCCCTCCCCAGAATGACTATGGTGACAGTTTTTTTGTTAACAGTCACCTGGAAACAGGTCAGTCCATATTTTCCAGACATATTTTCCAGACACCCATCCCCTAAAAAACAACTCCCTGGTTTAAAAAAAAAAAAAAAAAAAAAAAAAGCCAATTGCGTTTGAAATACCTAATGTCACCTCATCTTCACCAACATCGGAGAAGAGCAAACCACTTACCAGGCTCCAAGTGTATCTGTGTGTGACCGTTCATTATCCCATTCGCTATATCTGTGTCCTCCACAGTGAGAACCACTGGAGGCTGGAAGTCAAGCTCCTCCTGAATTTTTTCTAAGCTGCTCTCCATCTGGGCGGAACTTACACAGTTAAAATGCCACTTCACTTTCTGAATGATGCTATCTGCAAAAAGAGAGCAACCCAAGTTGAGCAGTCGCGTCAGGATGGATATTACAGAACAATATGTGCAAAATGAAGTTCACCTTTCTGAGCAAGCTAGTAAGTCAGCCAGATTCTGGGAGTGTCTGGATACACCTAAAGGTCAGATGTTCACTGGGTGTCATTACTGGTCTCATCAATCTCTTCAGTGCATAATACTTAAAATGCGATTGTCCACAGAGAAGGCAACAATGCTTCCCGGAACCTCAGTGATGAGGGAGTCAAGGGATAGGGGCTGGAGTCTTACTCAGCCACTGCTGATAGTACAATCCTGGCCGTTCACAGAATGATGCAAAGCTTAACAGAAAGGGGAGACAGTTATTCTCGAATGAATCACCTCAAAAAAGGTACGGGAGAAAAAACTTACAAATAAATGTGAATATTTTGTGCAAACTAAAATCACATACTTGAAAGATATCGGTTTTAATTGCTTTGTTTGCCTTAGCATTAATCGATTACCAAGTTTTAATAAGCGCTTGGGGTTTCATACATATTGGCAAAGCAAAATCACGCACAATGCCAGTATCTAGTATCCACCATTATATTCTACTCTCACTCAGTGATGAGCAAACACGATGCCGGGACAGGGTCTGCTGTGTGATCAAGCACACCACTTTAGAAGGAAGGCACATGCAGGGCAGCGGGGAGCAGAACACGGTCCACACTGCATATCAAACGCCACAGCTGTGGTCTGCCTGGGGCCAGCGTGCCCTCTTTGTAGGAAGAAGTGGGGTTGAGAGCAGCGGTGGACGAGGCCTCACAGGGAGAACCGGGGAGAACTCTGTCTACATCACAGGTCTGCCTGGCAGAGGCCTGCGTACCAGGGAGCTTGCCAGCACCTTTGGGTGACAACAAAATGCACCAGCCAGTGGACCACGTGAGGGAGTACGAGGGCTACGGCAGTACAGCCAGGAAGCACACGTGCCAACACGCCTGTGCACCTGACCCTTAGTACCGACTGCTGCCAGCCCCTCATTCAAGGGCATCACAGAGACAGCAGCTAGTTTACGTACAGGCCACAGGATGCCCCCCCCCCACTCCCACCTCTACTCCTGTTCTCCCAAGAGCTTAGAATGACTTGACTCACAGGAAAAGAGAGGAAAAGACAGCATAGGCTACAGCTACCATGCTGTGCTCCAAAGCCTCCGAGCCTCTACAAGCCTCTCTGACAATGCCTAAGAGAAAACAATCCTCTTCCAGGGCAGTATTTCTCAGACCTTTGAATAAAGGGCCAGTTTTTATTATTTCCAAATGGTTACAGACTGATTCTTTGATAAAATGCAATAAAAAATACCGCAGGAATGTCAAATCACCATATGAGTTTCTGGACACTTATTCTCACTTTCTGTACCTCCCTCATGATAGAACAAATTCCCACACCACCCTTTGAGTAGCACTGCTCTAGAGCAGGGGTTAGCAAATTTTCTTAAGCTGCCAGGTAGCAAATATTTGAGGCTTCTAGGCCCCATATGGTCTCTGTCACATCTACTCAACTCTGCTGGGTAAGGGCAAAAGCAGCCACAGGTGACCCATGAAAAGAATGAACGTAGCTGGGTTCCACTGTATTTACAAGAAAAAAAGAGGCGGGGCAGCTGGCCCTTGGACCAGTTTGCTGACCCCCGTCCCAGAGGGCTGTGGTGAATAATCGATACAAGTTTCACCACTCCCCAACCTGCCTCAGGCTCTGAAGAGATGAAGAGCCGGCGTTAAACCTTGAAGCTCTCCAGGCCGCTCCTTCACTGAAATCTCTTGATACAAAACTGATCTCCAGTGACATGTTATAGCCCCTGCAGTGGTTTTCCCTGATGGTCAAAGCCAAATCTAAACCATTAATTCTACACATATGATGCCGTGAGAGAACAGTAAATAAGAAAGAGGGTTACAAACCAAATTCAAGAAAGGCGTATGGCCTGGAGGCTAGGCCAATACAGGTGGTGTCATAGGAAGCTGTGAATTCCCACCACACGGTCTCCAGGAAGCAGAAGGCCATGGCCGCTGGACACTGGCGGGAGCAGATAGCCATGCAAGCCACATCCCCCAACGAAGAGAAACTGAAACAAAAGGGCAGCATCTCCATTACCGGGGAACAGACCCCTGTATTCCCATCCCATATTCAGACACAACGATGCTTCCGCCCTGCTCTTCCTTGGCCTTGAACAGCCCTGGAGCTGTTTGCTGCATGCATACAGTCCCTTCAGCTGGACCTCCCTGGGACTCTCTTGTCCTTCCTCTAAAATAGAGAGCAGTTGGGGCACCTGGGTGGCTCAGTTGGTTGAGCGTCCAACTTCGGCTCAGGTCATGATCTCACGGTTTTTGAGTTCGAGCCCCGTGTCAGGCTCTGTGCTGACAGCTCAGAGCCCGGAGCCTGCTTTGGATTCTGTCCCCTTCTCTCTCTCTGCCCCTCCCCACTCGTGCTCTCTCTGTCTCTCAAAAATAAATAAATGTAAAAAAAAAAAAAAAATTGAAATAGAGAGCAGTTATTTGCCACTGACAATGTGAAATCACTCCTACTAATTTGTGCACGAAGGATGCACGCTTCATGAGGGAGAAGTAGCCTCAGACTTCTCTGCATCTATTGAGGAAAATATTTTTTTTCTTTAATCCACATCAATGGCTTTCTAATGTTAAATCATCCTGCCATCCTGAAATAAAGCCAAGAGGTTATGAGTTTGTACATATGCACATACACACAACTTACTGGATATAGTTTGCTAATGTTTTATTTAGGATTTTTGTGTCTATGCAAAGTAATATTGGCCTGTAACTTTCCTTTCCTGCACTATCTTTATCTGGTTGTGGTATTAGGGTGATTCTGGTTTCATAAAATAAATGCAGGGTTCTCTCCTTTTTCTACCACTTTTCAGAATGTCATGCTACCATTTGAAGTTCTGGGGACTCGAGTTCTCCTGTCTGTGGTGTCTACTGACTCACACTCATTGTAGAGTGTCTCCTCTGCTGTCCTGTAACTTTTGGTGAGAGGGGACCAGTGTGGAGCTTTTTTTTTTTTTTTTTTTTTTTTTTTTTTTGTCCTTCTTTAAGAATCTCTCGAGCACTGAGTTGTGGCACACTTCTTCCAGAGTGGTTTTATGTGCAGCATTGGTGGTATCGTCCCTTCCAGAGTGGTTTTCCATTTGCTCTGGCCAGCTACTCCAGGAGTGTCATCAGTCTGGAACCAAAACTGAGAGCTGAACCTTGTTTAGGAATTCCTAGACCATGGAGAGTATGAACTCAAACTCCAATCCTACAGGAGGCACAGAAGCTGGGTTTCAATTTCTTAGATGAGATTTTGTGTTTCCTTCCCATTCAAAGCCAGGTAGAGATGAGCTACCCTGTCCTGGCGGGTGGCTATTTCTCACCTATTGTCATTCCACCTGGGCTGTGTGTGGCCTCACAAGAATCCCTTCTTCATGCATGGATCTTCTCACAACACCTCAAGCCCAAAGCCCTCTCCCTTAATGGGTACTGAAACTCAAGCCCTGAGTATACCATGACTGACTTATTACCCAAGAGCCTCAATGTCAGCTCACACACTTACCACACCCTGATACTCTGTTCCCCATCATTTCTGGCACCTTGGGAATTCTTTATTTTAAGCTCAGCTACACATTTAAAATAATTTCTCATATACATTTACTCACATTTCAGAATGTTTCTGGAAAAGAGTTTTACAGTTATATTGTTCTATCATCTTTTCATAATTGCAAGTCTCTATATAAAAACTTTTGTCAATTAAAAAAAAAAAAAGACAACCTGCTCCTTATACAAGGAATTTTCCAGAAGCCCCTATTTGTGGGCTGACTTGTATCTCCCAAAAAATAGGCCCAAGTCCTAACTCCCAGTACCCGTGAACATGACCTTATTTGGAAACAGTCTTTGCAGATACAATTAAGATGAAATGAGATTATAATGGATTAGGGTAGGCCTCCATCCAACGACCGGTGTGAAATTTGGTTTTAGAGACCGAGGGGAAGAAGGCCATGTAACCAAGAAGGCAGAGATTGGAGTAACTCTTCTAAAAGACATGGAATGACAAAGACTGCCAGCAACCACTAGAAGGGAGTAGAGAGGCATGGGAAGGAGTCTTCCTTAGAACCTCCAAGACAGCACTGCCCTGCAGACACCGCGATTCTAGACTTCTGGGCTCCAGAACTGTGGGAGAATAAATTTCTGTTGTTTTAATTTGTTATGGTAATCGTAGGAACATAACTCAACTCCTTAACTATAAAATAAGCTATAGTACTGCCCACCTGTACAAAAAAAAAACAAAAACAAAAAAACGCAAACTTCAGGTTCATCTGTGAAAATAATGGTGAATATTTAATTCAAAATACAAATGAGAACGTTTTATATGCTAGTTTTCAAAAAATGACTGAAGCACCCATAATTTCATTTGATGTCAAAGACGTTTTCTTAACAGAGAAAGGTTTGAGGCGTAGCACCAAGATCCCATAAGGTGTTAGAGAATCAGAGCGTAATGAGGGAGGGACATGAAGGACAGTGGTTTTGGGCACCCAGAGAAAGGAGGCACAAATGCGGACAGAGGCAGCTCAGCTTTGGCTCCTGAGCCCCCAGAGCCCACACCACAGGGTAACAGCCGCATGTGTTTGCTACCTGGCGCCCCCTTCAGGCAGCCCCCCTCTTGCCCAACGACACCAGCAAGCCCCAAGTCAAGCCTGGCCTTTTCCTTTTGTTTTTCGGATTCTGAGGCCGAATTCCCCTAAAAGCACCCTACCTTATCAGGTCAACTAAAAATTTAGTGTTCAAAGGGAGCAGGAGGAACTTGGCAAATGAGGGCCCAAATAATGGAAAACAATGACATAAAATCTATGACAAGCCGTTGTGATACTTCAAAATCTGCCAACCCCTGCGCCCTCCTGTAGAATGGCTTCGTGCATCTTAGTCCTAGAGTAAGAAATGACAGAACACATGAGGAGCAGCCCCTGGGGCCCAGCTGCCTGTATTCAAATCTGGGCCCTACCACTTACTAACAGGACAACCTCAGCTAAGTCACTGAACCTGTTTCCTCCTCTGTAAAACACGTATGATACTGTCACCCACCTCACAGGCCAATAAAGCACTTAGAACAATGCCTGACATCTAGAAAGCACTCAACAATACTAGCCATTCTTACTAGGATTATTGTAACCACTTGATTCCTACTTCCACTGGAGCATTTTTCCTACTGTATTATATTCAGTTAGGTATTTCTCTTGTTCCCTCCTTAGCCTTTAAGTTCCCTCAGAAAAGGGACCTACCTGTGCTCATTATTCACTCCCCTGCTCCGTTACCTAAAAATTTTTTTAATTTAAATTTAAAAACCAAACAGGCGAAAAATTTAAAAAGTAAAAAATTAAAGGCAAGGATTAGAAGTCTTTTATTTTCTTGGCTTTCCTACTCTCATCCTTTTCCCTCCCTGACATTATACCCTAGACTTCTCCCCCTTCCTCAGCTTTTCCACCCCTCCATCTAATGCAGAATAAACTACCAAACTACAGACATGAAAACTGATTGAACCCAGGTCTCCCGACACTCAAGAGCAACCCCACCAACAGAAGGGCAAGAGTGGGAACAGCACACCCCCTTGATCCGATGGCTGTAAATGCACACAACCTGAGACTGCTGTCTGACGGCAGACCTACTCTTAACACACAGTGTGATCGGCCTCATGTTACCCCAACGTATGGTTAAAAGTAAACCCAAGTTTGCGGATGTTGTGGAAGAGTGAGCATGCTTGCTTACTGTATACTGAAGTCACGTCCTTCTGCAGAACCTCGACCTGGGTACTGGGTCAGTCGCAAGGCTAAAGTCTTGAGCCGTCTCCTGCATTCCAGAAAATCCTGGGTGTGGTAAAAGTCAGTGGAGGCCGAGAGGGGCAGTCCATCCCTCACCCTCACCACACAGGCAAAAAGGATCATAGACATGGTCTGCAGGGGAAGTCATGAGGACACCTGAGGAAAGCAAGGGCACCTTGTTACTGAAGGCAGACGATGGTAAGAGAGACGCCCCCTGCCCTTGAAACGTCCTTTCTGGCTGTTTCACCCTCACCCCACCGTAACTGCAAATGTTGCCTTTATTATTACTTCCCTGGCCTCTACTGCTAGGTCACGGCCGGTCTTCATCCCTTCATTTTCCTTCCTGTCTCTTCTTCACTTATAATCCTCCTTTCCCTTCTCTCTAATGAATCTCTCCCTTTCCAGAAGTCTACCAACTAGGATGAGGGAGAAAGGAATGGAGAAGCAAGGAAGCAGCGCCAGAAAGGCTCAGGAGCAGCAGCAATGACAGTGGGTAGTAGGACACAGGTAGCAAGACGGCCCTGAAGGGACAGGAACCACCAGACACTGAAGCAGCAGGGATGGGGCCCAGTGACCTATGCGTTTCAGGTCACCCAGGCAGGTAGGTGCTGAGCAGTTTTGTTGTCTTATCCTCACCTGCAGTAGAGGGATTCTGAGCATCCAACCTGAAGTTGGTGGCAAGGAGAACAGAAGGTAAAAATGGAACTGAGGGAGTATAGCATGTCCTCCTGAATTTCTCCAAGTGTTCGATCCCAAGCCAGTCTTCGAAATGATGACTGAGTCCCTACAGATGGCTAAAGGAAGTCATTTAGCAAATTATACTACAGTAAGTTACTCAATATTTGGCCATGAAATGTGGGCACTATTAAGCAACAAAAGGAATCAGATCTTGAGCCCTCGTGGTGCCTTTGGCAAATCAGACCAAAACGCTTCTCAGGGTGAAAAGAGAGCCTGGCAGAGCCTGGCTGGGTTTTGGCCCCATCTGCTAACGCTGCAGGTGCTTGCACAGGCCATAACCTACACACGTAGGCCGTGGCAGCCCGCAACCAGGGGTTAGTGAGGTGGCCAGCGTAGCTTTAGTGGGTCTTTCCATGCACCCACACATCCCGTTTCACAGATTTTGTTCGTGAGGTCCTCTACTTGATAGGATGGTAATAGGTACACACATTGGTGGGCTTTTCTTTCAAAGAACTCCAAATACGTCACCTTATTTGGCCTCTCAACTCCTACGAGCAGTAGGAAAGGGGAACCCCCATGATGCACACTACTCTCTTCACCTCTGTGCCTCTACGGATTCTTTTCCTCTGTCTGTTCCTCCTCTGATCTCCCCATACCCAAATCTGCAGCCACCCTTTCCATGACCCCTTCCCAGGCTTGTCTGGCTGGAGGTCTTCCACCTCCTCCGAATTCTCAGAGACCCTATCTCCTTGTTCTCTATTTTACTAATTTTTCATTTCCATTACCTAAGTGTAGGTTCTAAGAATAAACACCCTACCTGGAATGCATAAATGAATAATTCTTCCCATTTTACCCATGAAGAGACTGCAGTGGTATAAAAACAAGAGAAAGCGAAAAGAAAACTTGGTCTACTAGCCAACAGATCCTACAAAGTCCGCTTGTCCCATCTCCCCACACTTTCCATTCAAGAGTAAACATGTGAGAAGCCCCAGGAAAAATACCTCCCCACACAAAATTGCTACGTCCCAGCACCAGTGGCAGGCCCTGCCAACTGCCAGAAGGCCATGTGGGCCGCACCCCCGCTGCTTGGCCAACGCTGAGGCCTCCGGTACCAAAGAGGTCATCAGGGATTGGGTGTGTTGCGGCTAATCTCATGACCTTCTTATACTTTCGTGAATGCTTCAAATACTTAATTTAGAAATAATTTTTTTTCAAGTTTATTTATTTTTGAGGCAGAGAGAGACAGAGCGTGAGCAGGGGAGGGGCAGAGAGAGAGGGAGGCACAGAAGCCGAAGCGGGCTCCAGGCTCTGAGCTGTCAGCACAGAGCCCCATGCGGGGCTCGAACTCCGGGACCGCGAGATCGTGACCTGAGCCAAAGTCGGACGCTTAACCGACTGAGCCACCCAGGTGCCCCTAGAAATAAATTTTTAAAGACTTACAGGCACAAAGCCCTGATAGAGACAGGGGAAGACTATAAGATCAACTTGAGACTAGGCCTTAGGAGCAAAACAAGAATGACAACTTGCTTGCTACCTTGAGAACAGTGTTATTTCAGTGCATGCAAGTTGCAACTATTCTGCAATGCACGTAGAGGAGTGTTTAAGAATACTTGTAATTAAGGGGTGTCCGGGTGGCTCAGTAAATTAAGCATCCAACTCTCAATTTTGGTTCAGGTCATGATCTCATGGTTGGGAGATCATGTCCCCAAGAAGGGCTCTGAGATGGGCTCTGTGCTGGGCACAGAGCCTGCTTAAGATTCTCTCATCCTCTCCTTCTGCCCCCTCCCCTGCTGGTGTGCACTCAGGAGCACACACTCTCTTTAAAAAAAAAAAAAATACTTGTAATGAAGATGTTTCTAAAAACACTACTAGATAAGAAAGAACAATATAAAGACACTGAGCCCCCCCCACCCTCCCCCCACCACGCCTAAAAAAGAGAGAACTCGAGAAAGACAATGAATTAATGAGATACCAAGAGAGTCAGAGACTGGACAGAAACGCCCCAAGGCAAAATAAGAAAGACACTGCTTAGGGGGCTGAGTAAATTCTCTGCTCTTGAAAGGAAAAGCAATATACATATATTCCAACTGTCAACCCCCAAATAGCCTCTCTAGTGCTGTTTTTATAGAGCATCTGCCATGCGCCAGGTATCCTGTTAAACCAATAAAAGGAAAACGGTGAACTTTTACAAGTGATAGTAATCTAAGAACGAGTTCTACCACTCTCTAAAGGACACAACTGTCCCTTTAGATTCTCTACTTGACCCACTTGATCCTTTGGGTGACCAAACAATAGCATTCAAAATAAATAAAACTGGGGCGCCTGGGTGGCGCAGTCGGTTAAGCGTCCGACTTCAGCCAGGTCACGATCTCGCGGTCCGTGAGTTCGAGCCCCGCGTCGGGCTCTGGGCTGATGGCTCGGAGCCTGGAGCCTGTTTCCGATTCTGTGTGTCCCTCTCTCTCTGCCCCTCCCCCATTCATGCTCTGTCTCTCTCTGTCCCAAAAATAAATAAACGTTGAAAAAAAATTTTTTTTAAATAAAAAAATAAATAAATAAATAAATAAAACTGTTGGTCAGTTCTCCCAAGTTACTAGTACTGGAAACTAGTGAAACCCACATACATTTAAGATATTTAAAATTTTTTCTGATGCTTAAATGAAGGGGATACTGGGATATTAAGTGTTACTTGTGTTTGTGTATACAATGAGTGTGTAAACATACAGGACGACAGCTGCCTGAGAGGTGGAGGGATTTTACACACTGCTGTGTTAGAGTCTAAGAGCAGAGACAACATTGGTTTTCCCTTATTGAAAATGTACTTTGTATCCTAAAAAATGGAAAAAAAATTAATGCAAATAGGGAGAGACTCATCTTTGTGTCCTCACAGCGCTTGGTAAGAGCTTTGCATACTGTAGGGAGCTGATGTTTGCAAATTCAGATTATGAACTATGACGAGATGATCTGTACTTGCTAAGAGATCTGACCACTGCTCAAAAAAGAATGGACTGAGGCTTTTGCTTCTGAAAAGGTAGAATTGAAGGGCTTTTTTCCTACTCCCACTAATAGTGGTATAAAAAATATGGACACTACATACAACATAAACATAAATAAACATCTGAAAGGTGGGGACAGGAAAGCAGACTGGCTAGGGACTTTGGAACCTGAGGAATGGCACAGTTAGGAGTTTGCTCAATTTTCTTTTTGCCTCAGATATCCTAGTCTTGGTGCTGGAGAAACCGGCAACCCAGAAATGCCAATGAATGCAGGCAGGAAAAAAGAAAAAAAAGCCCAACAATGAAAAAGAGCCTGGTCTCTCCAGCCTAAGAACCAGGAAAGGTGCGCGCAGCCTAGCAAAACAGTAAAGGTTTAGACAAAAACATTCTACTCCAGCCAAACACCACAGAAAAACTGCAGCCATCATATACCCACAACAAAGGCTGAGATAAGAGCCCAGACTTCTATTTTTGCTTGGCAGTAATGAGGTGTCCCCACCAACTCTCCACACTGCTGGAGTGTCAGAGACCAGGTAGGGAGCTACAGGCAGCAAAGAGCCAGCCTCTCCCATTGTATCATTAAGGAAACAGAAATCCCCTTCTCTTCAGGGACCCAAAAGAGGCCCAGTGGGGAAAGCTGAACTTTTACTCCCACCTGGAAGTAATGAGATAGTACCTCCACCACCCCTGCTAACACAGTGTCAACAAAGGCCAACTAAAACAGATCTAAATAAGATCCAGAGTCTCATAACACCCCAAATGTCCAGGTTTTAATAAAAAAAAATCACTGGTCATACTACGAACCAGGAAGATCTGAAATTGAATAAGAAGAGACCATCAACTGGGGCGCCTGGGTGGCGCAGTCGGTTAAGCGTCCGACTTCAGCCAGGTCACGATCTCGCGGTCCGTGAGTTCGAGCCCCGCGTCGGGCTCTGGGCTGATGGCTCAGAGCCTGGAGCCTGTTTCCGATTCTGTGTCTCCCTCTCTCTCTGCCCCTCCCCCGTTCATGCTCTTTCCCCCCCTTCCCCAAAAAAAAAAAAACTTTTTAAAAAAAAAAAAAAAAAAAAAAGAAGAGACCATCAACTGATGCCAACATCAAGACGATAAACTTTAAAGTAACCATCATAGGGGTGCCTGGGTGGCTCAGTCAGTTAAGTGTCCGACTTTGGCTCAGGTCATGAATTCAGGGTTCGTGAGTTCAAGCCCCACATCAGGCTCTGTACTGACAGTTCAGAGCCTGGAACCTGCCTCGGATTCTGTGTCTCCCTCTCTCTCTGCCCCTTCCCCACTCAGGCTCTGTCTCTCTCTGTCTCAAAAATAAACATTAAAAAATTTTTTTTTAATTTTTAATAAAAAAATAAAATAAACCATCATAAAATGCTTCAATGAGCAATATAAACACACTTGAAACAAATGAAGAATTAAAAGTCTCAGCAAAGTAACAGAAGGTATAAAAAACCAAAGGGAAGTTTTAGAATGTAAAAA